AAAAAATAAAAAACTCCAATCATCATCTACACTCACCCCCTCCCCCCGAAAACCAAAAACCAGTTTGGTAAATGTACAAAACCAGTTTGCACTTTCAAAATGATTAGCTCCGATGAGAATGACCCGTGAGAGGAGAAATGGGAGGAGAAGGAGAGGATATAGTAGGGATATTTGTAGGATTTGAGGGGTAGTTTGGGAAGAAATGGAATTGTAGGTTTTAAGGGAAGAGAGTAAAAGGGGGCAAAAAGAAAAAAAAAACCAGTAAATGAAATGGGCATTTGATGGGTTTTTATCTTCTTTCTCCCAAAAAGTAGTCATATAAATGCACAGGTATTCGATAGGTTCTTGTCAATGGCCAAAGAAGGGTTTTTATTTTGTTTCTTCCAAATTTTACTGATTTTTGGAGAGTGGAGAAAATGAGTTGCAAGGTTTGAAATTAGTTTTTGAGATTTCAATCAAGCTACCGGCGAGGGTGAGGAAGTCAGTGAGATTCCAAGTTTGATTTTATTGGGAAATACCTGGTTTTGGTTCTTGGTGGTTAAAGAAGATGACTTTTAGTTTTGGGTGGGTGGAGAAGATGACTATTTTTTATTTTTTTATTGTTTTATTTAAATTTTTTATATGAAAATGTAAAGTTACATATTTATCCCATTAAAAATTAGTCGACAATTGGTCAGACCTTTAATTTTTGGTCAATAACAGTCAAACAAACGGTTTCTGTTAATTTGGATTCCGGGTGCAAATTTTTTGAAGGTTTGGTACCTCCGGTGGCACAAACTAAAGGTTTGGGCAAAATCTACTAATAAACGAAAGGTTTGATACCTCGACTACAATTTTCCCATTTTATTTTGACCTTCGGTTTGTATCGATGGAGGTCTCAACTCTTTGAAGTATTAGCAACTGGGGTCTAAATGGATGAAAATTGTCTATTTGATCATTAGTTAACCAAAAAATGATTTTGATCAAATTTGATAAGGCCAAAAAGGGCAACTTTATGATTTAAACATAAAATAATTTAAAAAAAAAGAAAGAAAAAAAAGAAGGAAAAAAAAAGGGGGATTTGATAAAAAAGCCTAGTCAAACAATGATTTTGATAAAATAACCTTCCTTTAATGTTTCTTGGTCAAATGGCCTTCATTTATAAAATACAATAAACAAATAATGTCAAATATCTAAAATACTCTCATCATGGAAAATACCCAAATACCCCTTTCAATCCAATTAAATCCCTCAGTTCATCTACAAAATGCATTAACTTGTTTTCCCTGTGATTTCTTCCCTAAAATCTTGATATTCATTGTATTTTTCTTCTATCTTGTCCAACATTGTGAGCATTTGAACAAGAATTTTATTATCTATATTATCTACATTGAGATTTCCACTATATTTAAAGAAAAAAGAACGGTATTTTTAGAAATCTCATTTACATTCGTACTTTTATTGTTTAATATAGTATAAAATGATATTTTAATTGATTTTATTTTCTCATTTGGTGTATATTTGTATCGTCCGCAACTATTGGACGATAACGATTGGAAACGACAGTCCAGTCGTTATCTGTAGTGTAGAACGACACTACAGTCGTTATCCTCCATGTAAAGTGACAGTACAACCATTATCTGTTATGATCTGTCTCTTATTGATAATATATTGTGGTTACTTTGATAATTTAAATATTGTAACTATTTTCATATTATTTTAATATATACTTGAATTGATGAAGTCATAATGATAGATATTTATTTTTTGTTATAACAAAATATCACGGTACCATTTCGAGTATTTTACCTAAACAATATAGAAATGATGTTTAGATATTAAATATCATTTATCTAGTAACAATTTATTTTTAAATATACGAGTTATCAATTATTCGTATCGTGTTTACATAAGTAACGACACTTGTGCTGTTTTCATAACAGTAACATCACTAGTGTTGTTCTCATTTTTCATGTTGTCCAGGCAATGAGAGTGTCTTTCAAATTATGTGAGCGGCATGTCCATTTCGCAAATTACATGAGTTCAAATTATGGAATATCGAGGTCTGGAAGGCGTGTGACTGCTCATACTCTTGTTTATCGACAGAATGACACAAGTGACGTTTAATGGTATCTATGTTGTTCTGTTGGTTTCTCCTATATTTCGCTTTATTTTCACCGCGTCGACCTTAAGGATCGGGCCTCCTAACTTAAGAAAGTCAAAATTATTAATTACGTAACAAATAACAGAAGAATTGGCATAGATTGTAGATATCGCGTTGGTGAAATCACAAGTCACCATCCACATTCATTAGAAAACTAAAGTAATGAGGGTATCTCCCAAATTATGTGAGTAACATGTACATCTCGCCACTCGTATGAGTTCAACTTCTCGAATATAGGGGTCCGGAAGGCTCGTGGCTACTCAAACTCGTGTTTATTCACAGAACGACACAAGTGCCGTTTAACGGCACTTGTGTCGTTCTGTCGATTTATCTCATTTTTCCCTTCATTTCATCCGCACATCGACCTCAAGGATCGGACCTCCTAACTTAAGAAAGTCAGAATTATTGATTATGTGACGGATAATGAGAGAATTGGCATGGATTTCGGTGAAATCACAAGTAACCATCCACATTTGTTAGAAAACCAAAGTAATGAGGGTATCTCCCAAATTATGTGAGCGACATGTCAATCTCGCGACTCAAATAAGTTCAAGTTCGCAAATACAGGGGCCTGAAAGGCTAGTGACTGCTCAAACTCGTGTTTATTAACAGAACGACATAAGTGCCGTTTAACAGCACTTGTGTCGTTCTGTTGATTTCTCCCATTTTTCGCTTCATTTCCTCCTCGTCGACTTCAAAGAGTGGACCTCCTAACTTAAGAAAGTCAGAATTATTAATTACGTGACGGATAACGGAGGAATTGGCATGGATTTCACTGAAATCACAAGTCACCATCCACATTCGTTATAAAACCAAAGTAATGAGGGTATCTCCCAAATTATGTGAGCTACATGTCCATCTCGCGACTCAAATGAGTTCAACTTCTCGAACACAGGGGCCAGGAAGGCTCGTGAGAGCTCAAACTCATGTTTATTGACAAAACGACACAAGTGCCGTTTAACAGCACTTGTGTCGTTCTATTGATTTATCTCATTTTTCACTTCATTTCCTCTGCGTCGACCTCAAAGATCGGACCTCCTAACTTAAAAAAAGTCAGAATTATTAATTACGTATCGGATAATGGGAAATTGGCATGGATTTCGGTGAAATCACAAGTTACCATCCACATTCGTTAGCAAACCAAAGTATTGAGGGTATCTCTCAAATTATGTGATCGACATGTCTACCTAGCGACTCAAATGAGTTCAACTTGTCGAATACAAGGGCCTGAAATGCTCGTGGCTGCTCAAACTCGTGTTTATTAACAGAACGACACAAGTGTCGTTTAACAACACTTGTGTCGTTCTGTTGATTTCTCCCATTTTTTGCTTCATTTCCTACGCGTCAACCTCAAAGATTGGACATCCTAACTTAAGAAAGTCAGAATTATTGATTACGTGACGGATAATGGGAGAATTGGTATGGATTTCAGTGAATTCACAAGTCACCATCTACATTCGTTAGAAAATCAAAGTAATGAGGGTATCTCTCAAATTATGTGGTCTACATGTCCATCTCGCGACTCAAATGAGTTCAACTTGTCGAATACAAGGGCCCGGAAGGCTCGTGGCTGCTCAAACTCGTGTTTCTTAACAGAACGACACAAGTGTCGTTTAACAACACTTGTGTCGTTCTGTTGATTTCTACCATTTTTCGCTTCCTTTCCTCTGCTTCGACCTCAAAGATCAAACCTCCTAACTTAAGAAAGTCAGAATTATTGATTACGTATCGAATAATGGGGAATTGGCATGGATTTCGGTGAAAACACAAGTCACCATCCACATTCGTTAGAAAACCAAAATAATGAGGGTATCTCTCAAATTATGTGATCGACATGTCTACCTAACGACTCAAATGAGTTCAACTTGTCGAATACAAGGGCCTGGAATGCTCGTGGCTGCTCAAACTCGTGTTTATTAACAGAACGACACAAGTGTCGTTTAACAACACTTGTGTCGTTCTGTTGATTTCTACCATTTTTCGATTCCTTTCCTCCGTGTCGACCTCAAAGATCGGACCTCCTAATTTAAGAAAGTCAGAATTATTGATTACGTATTAGATAATGGGGAATTGGCATGGATTTCGGTGAAATCACAAGTCACCATCCACATTCGTTAGAAAATCAAAGTAATGAGGGTATATCTCAAATTATGTGATTGACATGTCTACCTAGCGACTCAAATGAATTCAACTTGTCGAATACAAGGGCCTGGAAGGCTCGTGGCTACTCAAACTCGTGTTTATTGACAAAACGACACAAGTGTCGTTTAACAACACTTGTGTCATTCTGTTGATTTCTACCATTTTTCGCTTCCTTTCCTCCGCGTCGACCTCAAAGATCGGATCTCCTAACTTAAGAAAGTCAGAATTATTGATTACGTGACGGATAACGGGAGAATTGGAATGAATTTCAGTGAAATCACAGGTCACCATCTACATTCGTTAGAAAACCAAAGTAATGAG